AGCATAAATGATTTTTAAATTTCCTTTTTTGTTTGCATTCTTTGAAATAAGGGAAAATATTTTTCATATTTGGCATTTATTATTTTTTATGTAATGGGTGAATAAGTATTTTACGTCCTTCTAACTAGCTTTTTTATAACCTTTACGAAAGATTTCATGTGGTATAATGAAATATTGAAGATAATAATGTATCATGAAAAAAATTATGTTAAAATATAATTTTAAAAATTGAAAAAAATGGTGATGTCAAGAAATGTGGTGCAAGAAATAAGTTGCCATTTTCCAATTTCTCTCACTAAAACAAATATTGACTGTTTCCATATTTGCACTTAATTTTTCAACTTCTTAACCAATTCTGATCCTCCCATGTACGGGGATTTGGCTCCGAAACTCAAGGAAGGACTATTCTTTCCCTTTGACAGCGTTAAAAATACCAACACATTCCTATAAATCTCTTGCAGCAGGTCCACCACAGTTACCCCACAACATAAAAAACCAGAAACCTCTGATAAATCCTCTCTCTCCTTAAAACATTCATAAATTTTGTCAAGTTGAATTTATCAGGTTTAAAAAACTAGGATAGCCAAAAACCTCGCAATCATGAGGTTTCCATTTTTTCATGTTCGTGGCGTGGCCTTGATGATCGTGATGACGTGTTGCGTGTTCTTGTTCTCGACCAACGTTGTAGAGGGTGTTATAGGCATAAATTGGGGTAGGATGACCACAAACAGACTGATTCCATCCATGGTGGTAGATTTGCTTTTACAAAATGAGATTCGCGAAGTGAGACTGTTCAGCACCAGTAAAAATGTTCTGGAGGCCTTTTCCAGGAGCGGAATTGATGTAACCATTACAATTCCTAATCAGAACCTCAAGGGTATGCTAGACCCTAAAGCTGTCAGAAGATGGATTAACCAACGGATTATTTCTTTCATAAGAGAAGAAGTTGACATAAGGTATCTTGTTCATCGTTATTTTTTCTCATCTTCAATTTTAAAATGTAATTTTTTTCGGATTTTAAACCATTTTTGGGAGCTTTTACAGGTATATCTCTGTCGGGACGGATCCATACTCAAAAGCATACAACAATTTAACCTTTTATTATGCATCTGATGTGTTGAAAATAGTTCAAAATACTCTCAACGATGCTGGTTATGGAGGAAAAGTCAAAGCAATAATTTCACATTTCTTTGATGTCCTAAACCCGAATATATCGAAACCATCAGAGGCAGATTTTCGGCCTGATATAAAGAATATATTGACGGATTTAATACGTTTCCAGAGAGAAAACAATGCTCCTTTTTTCATGGACATCTTCCCCATCTACTATGTTCACCTAAGGGGATGGGACTCTGAATTTGCATTTCTTGATAACAAATCGAATTTCTCCATTGTCGACTATAATGGCCTAAAGTACACGAATGCATTTGATTTTCTTCACGATTCATTCCTTTGGGCAATCAGGAAAGCTGGGGTTCGTGACATGAAACTGGTGGCCGGACAAGTTGGGTGGCCGACAGACGGCTATCCTAACGCGAGTCCTGAAAATGCCGAGCGGTTTTACAAAAGTCTCCTGCCCTTTGTCACAAGCAACCGAGGAACACCGCTGCAACCTGGAGCCCCTATCGACACATATCTGCATAGCCTGTCTGATGAAAACTTGCTCAAAATCGACAGGGGCGCATTCCAACGCCACTGGGGGATTTACAGATTCGATGGGGTTCCTAAATATAAAATTGACTTCACCGGACAAGGGCGTGACATCTTCCCAACCAAGGCCCAAGGAGTGACCCGAATGCCGCAGCGATGGTGCATATTCAACGGAGATGTCAGCAATGTCACTGCGTTGAAAGCTGAATTCGAAATGGCATGTCAGTACGCAGATTGCACCCCACTGGCGCCTGGAGGATCCTGCAGTCACCTGGATTTTCAACACAATATTTCTTACGCATTCAATGTGTATTTCCAAATGACGGGCCAGTATGCGGAAAATAAGTCATGCAGTTTTCAGGGTTTAGGCAAGGTGATTCCTGATAATCCATCAATTGGCACATGCATTTTCCCTGTGGAGATATTGGCTGCTGAAGAAGCCGTCGCTGGAGTTTCATTTGGAGCTGCACTTTTAGGTGCTACAAGTGGAGAAATGATTCATAGAGTGTATAGATTAGCTATGTTATTACCTTTTCTTTTAGTATTCATCTTGACATTAATGTAGTATCATGTAACTGTGTAATCGAACAACATATCAAATTGTACGTACGCATTTTTAACCTCTCATTTAAAATGCAGAGCAGAACCAAACTTCTGTCATTTGTTTTCCTTTCCTTTTCCTTTTCCTATATCACTATCATCTCTAGCACCAACGACTGAAAAATCCGCCTAAAAAAGAAATTAAATTCGCTCATGAAATATAGGATTTGAAGTAATATGCAGGATTGTTTGGCTATCTTAAAACTTGGACAAAAAAGAAATTCAAATTTTCAAGTGAAGTGAAAAGGTGAATTATTTCTCTAGTGGTCAAAGACATGGTTAAAGACGGTATGTTTCACAAGAAGGAACTGTAGGAGAAATAGTTACCTTCATAGTCACTGCATCTTTCATGTTGGATCATCAAGAAATTTAAGAACTATAGCGGAAGTGTACCTAAATCAGACATTGTTGATTGCAATAGTTGAATCTTGCGATTTTAGTCTTCCAAATCAACACGCAGCCCTTGATTCTCTTTGATGATGGGAGGCAGAATAGAATGAGCAATGCATATGTGATTTGGAAACCATAACCGTATTTATATATTGACCTAATTCAACTTATCATAGAATTAGGAATTTGGGCCCTGTCTCTACACATAAAAGACCTACACTTTAATTGAATGCATTAAAGTCTAAAATACCTAAATCTTATTGGATCACTTTTAAACAGGCTTAACCGAATTCGATAGTGTTTAATTCAATACACAATAATTCACACATATAAGCACACATGATCGATTTAAAATTTCCATATAGGAACTGTCTTGGAAGACATTATATGGTGCACATGTTAACAAAGGAAGAAGGTTTTTTTACTCGTTCTGAGAACACGCTAGAGAGTTGACGTCTTTCAAGATAATTAGAGCTTGTTTAGCACATGTTAACAAAGGAAGAAGGTTTTTTTTACTCGGTCTGAGAACACGCTAGAGAGTTGACGTCTTTCAAGATAATTAGAGCTTGTTTAGCACATATTTTTTAAAATTATTTTTTTCAAAATGATTTCTAATCACAAGTCACAATTTTTTTCATTATATATATATAAGCTTTTAGAACTGGCTACTGTATTAACCAATTGTCTTGCAAAATCGACACTAAACGAATCTTGACTTTAAAGTCTTCAATAATTTCCTCAAAAGTTATTCACCTACCAAATGAATGCAATTTTTGCCGATTAATGATATACAGTGCTACTAGTATCAAGCACTAGTTTAGATGACAACTGCACAGTATTAATTAATAAATTCACTTAAATGCAATGTCAAATAATTTATTTAATTGAATTTATCAATTGTGTCTATCTAGACTAGAGGTGGCAACGGGCTTGGTCCTTAAACCCTCGAGTTCGACTCATGCTCGTGGCTCGTTAATAACGAGCCGAGCTCGAGATTGGCTCGGCCCACGAGCTCGTGAGTTCACGGGCCGAGCTGAGCCTCCGAGCTTAATTTTTTTTTCTTTGGAAAATTTTCAAACTTTTGCTCGGCTCGTTGGATCCAACCCGTGCTCGGGCTCGTCATTTGATGAGCCCGAGCAGCCCACGAGTCGAGCCAACGAGTCGCGACCCATTTGAAATTCCTATCTAAACTGATCTTTATCACTAATGGTGCAAGATAACATTATTCATTATTTTCAACAAGAGTAGGTTTTATTTGACATATAACATGATAAAGTGACAAATTTCCTCATTTTCCCAAAAAGTGGACATCTTTTTCTTTCGCCGAGAAAGGGCCCGACACATAAAAGCCCCAATTAAGTTTTTAGATTTTAACGAGATGATCACATGTAATCACTGTCATTAACATCATAGTGCTTGTGACTATTTTTCAACGAATAATAAAGGATAAACATAACCTCTTTTTTTTAAGATACTCTCTAGCAGACTTACATTGTACTGAATTCATATTCTTGTGAATGATCTAGTGGGAGACTCGTTTTGTGATATTTCTTTGCAAGATGACAGTATGATCAACAAATCAACAAATAATAAAGTAATGAGTATAATATTATTTTACGATGATTAATTATTGGTTTCATCTTAATTATTGTTAATTTTAATATATGCAAATAGATTAAATTTTGATTTTAAAGTTGAGTTTTTCCTAATTAGCTAGAATAAGCAAATTATTACTAACAGAAAAAACAAGTATCGACGTAAAGAACAATTAAAGAGATAGTTTAAAATCCCGATCCCACTAATTAACATACATGTGTTCAATTTATATTATGGTTCAAGCGTTGTGTTGACGGTCAAAAAATAAAAAATAAAGTATTAACAATAATTCTCTAAGTACTAGTTATTCTATTCCTAAATATCAAATATTCTTAGCTTGATTAATAGTTTGATAAAAGTGATGCATCTCTTGATTTAACATGTAACAAATTCATGCAATTCAATGCTCGTCAACAAACATGAAAATATATCAAGAATAGAAGCACGTTTGTTTGCACCAATGACTTCAAATAGATGGAGGTGGCATTTTGGCATCTTTTTAGATTTGCAATTGAGATTATTAAGGTAGAATTGTAAGTATATTTCATTTCTTTAATAGCTTTTATATTGTATTTATTTCATTTATTTATTTTGAAAAAAATTGTACATGACATATTCATTTTTGTGCAATTTCAACTTTGCCTAAGTATTGTATCAGGACCAAAGTCTGGACAAAGGGGGAGGATTTGTACAACATTATAATACTTTTAAAGAAATGTAATTTTTTAACATCCATCATTCCCTTACAATATTATGTTTTCATTATACTTCGGTAAAGTAAAGTTTAAATTCAAAAACATAAAAATACTAGCCAACTCGGCTTGTCCCATCAATGAGCCGAGTCACTTTCGATAGAAGTGAGCCAACTCGCATTGTGGGTTGAGTTGTACCGAAGGTGAGCAAACCGAATGGCTCAGCTCGACCATTTAACATCCCTTCATCCTTCTCATCTTAACTCCAAATTAAGCATGCATGTATAAAAATAAGAAAATACTATTTTTTAACCATAGGAATCTCATGGCATAAAAATTAAGATGAGTTACTATGTTTCAGAGTCAGAAATAGAGTTTTATTTTATTTTCCAATGCAGTTCAATAGAATCACTCTATATCTTGCTAAATTGATTCATAGTTCCAGAATTTCTCACTATTCTATTGGTGATATCCTATCATAAAAATCAATTTAGGTCCAATTATAGGACTTTTCCTATATTTTAATTTTTTATGTAAAATAATAGTGAAAAAAATTAATTATTTTCCAAAAAAAATTCTCTCTACATTTGAAATCTCCATTTGAACTATTTATGAACCAATAAAAAATGCTGTGATAACCCTTTTCCCTCGCTCCTTGTTTTCATCTAACCAATCCCCTAAACCAATGGATTCCATGGATTCCCAATTCTCCACCTCCAGAATTTGCATTCCATTCCCATAAACTTTCTATTCTATTCGAACCTCATTTGACTCAGGATCAATCCCCCTTCCCAGTTGAAGCCATGGACATTATCAGGGTCCTGATGACATGGACCTTTCTTGCATTCTTAGTTTCACCAAACCTCGTACAGGGTATAGGTGTGAATTGGGGAAACCAGGCTTCACAAAATATGCAACCCAGCACGATAGTTCAAATTCTTAAGGACAACAAAATCGATCAGATAAAACTGTTTGACTCAGATCACTGGACTGTCAAATTCTTTGCAGGAACCGGGATTGAGGTCATGCTTGGCATTCCAAACAATTACTTGGCCGAACTTGCCAATGATTATGATAAGGCCAAAGACTGGGTCCAAGAAAATGTTACCAAGCATTTATATGATGATGGAGTCAAGATCAAGTAAAAAACTTCCTTGCCATTTTCTAATATTCGAGCTTGTTTGTTCGTCGTTTAATAGTTTTAACTTTTAGATAGTATGGTTTGCCGAGTAATATTCTGAGTTTTGCGTGGGTTTAACAGGTATATTGCTGTTGGAAACGAGCCATTCTTGAAGGCTTACAATGGTTCAAATTTGAAGACAACTTTCCCAGCATTAAAGAACGTTCAGAAAGCTCTTAATGAAGCCGGCATTGGGGACAAAATCAAAGTAACCACACCCCAAAATGCAGATGTATATGAATCGGGATCCAATGCTCCATCTGCTGGCAATTTCCGTTCAGATTTAAAAGAAAATATGATCCAAATTCTGAAGTTTTTCAAAGAAAATAACTCACCTTTTCTTGTCAACATATACCCTTTTCTGAGTTTGTATCAAAATCCTGGTTTCCCTATGGATTTCGCCTTCTTTGATGGTGGTGCTAAACCAGTTCAGGACAAGGGAATTTCATACACGAATATGTTTGATGCAAATTTAGATACCCTTGTTTGGTCATTGAGAAAAAATGGTATCCAAAAAATGAAAATCATCGTTGGGGAGATTGGTTGGCCAACTGATGGACACATCAAAGCCAATGTCAAACTGGCTAAAAAATTCTATGATGGATTCTTCAAGAAAATGGCAACAAAAAAAGGAACCCCTCTTTATCCCGGAGATATAGAGTATTATCTGTTTAGTCTCACAGATGAGAACAAAAAGAGCATTGCTCCAGGAGATTTTGAGCGCCACTGGGGCATATTCAGGTATGATGGACAGCCAAAGTTTCCGGTGGATTTCACTGGCAAAGGGAACGACAAAATGCCGGTAGGCGCAAAGGGCATTAAGTACTTGGAAAAAAAGTGGTGCGCGTACAACAGTGACTTGAAGAACATTAGTCTTGTTCCCGACAACCTTGGTTATGCGTGTGCAATGGGAGATTGCACAGCATTGAACTATGGTTCTTCTTGCAATAAATTGGGCAGTGTACAGGCCAACATTTCCTATGCTTTCAATATGTACTTCCAGATGCAGAATCAGGATGTGGAAGCTTGTAGTTTCCAGGGTTTGGCAAAAATTGTTAAGACTAATGCTTCCACATCGGAATGTCTCTTTCCAATCGCATTAGAGAGTGCTGGTACAAGGCTGTGGATGCAGACAGGAATAAGCATTCTTGCTGGATTGTTGGTTTCACTTGCATTATTTTAAGAGTCAGAAATGGAAGTATATATATAAGCTGTTAGGATATTAATCACCATTGCCTATGTGGTATCATTAGATCTCTTAACGGTTTCTTATAAATTGCACTTCTTGTTACATTAATGCAGTGTGCAATATGAAGCTATTTTCATCAATTTTTGATTAATGATTTTGAGAGGTGGAAAAGGTTTTAACCTCCTTAATCAAAAGCTAGAGGGTGACGGTTATTTCCTTGTCAATCACTACATGAACATGACAAGAAGAAAGTTATCTGCAAATAGATGCTGATGGAAAGTCGCCAATTCTCAAGCGATGAGCAATCTCCTCTTATACAAATCATGATCCAAGTGCATGTCCAATTCAACGTCAAGTAATATATATAAGCTGTTAGGATATTAATCACCATTGCCTATGTGGTATCATTAGATCTCTTAACGGTTTCTTATAAATTGCACTTCTAGTTACATTAATGCAGTGTGCAATATGAAGCTATTTTCATCAATTTTTGATTAATGATTTTGAGAGGTGGAAAAGGTTTTAACCTCCTTAATCAAAAGCTAGAGGGTGACAGTTATTTCCTTGTCAATCACTACATGAACATGACAAGAAGAAAGTTATCTGCAAATAGATGCTGATGGAAAGTCGCCAATTCTCAAGCGATGAGCAATCTCCTCTTGTACAAATCATGATCCAAGTGCATGTCCGATTCAACGTCAAGTAACCTTCCATGGATCTGGCTCAATGTTAGATATATTTTCCACTATTATTATGCTCAAAAGTTCAAGGAATTTCCCATCTTCCTTTAACTATGAATATATCCAATCCCACGTATTTTCCAGCCAACAGACCTTCTGCTATTATCACAGATAAAACATTATCCAATACTCCTTATCAAGGAAATTCACTGTGGCTATGCTGATTCTCCAATACTAAAATTGTTAGCACTTTCCTTGAATTTGTCTACAGACAATCAAACTACAAATTCGATAGAAAGCATTTATCACCTCCACATTCCCCATTTCTGTTTCCAAATTCCGGCAGCATCTAAGAACTCTGTATTTCCAGTTTCAAGCACCTTATGCAGTAAATGCCTAATGTATGAAAATGAAGCTGCATATTCACGAGTCTCACGTGACTCCCCCTGTTGTACCTGAGCCAACACATAGTTACTTCATTAGTTCAGACCACATTCTTCATCTTTCATTAGCTTTCTTAACCTCCATAACCCAACAACAAACATGTGAACCTGACTCTTCAGCTCTATCTAACTACATCCTGGCTCCTTGCTCATCTCCCTAAGGTTCATTATTCTTCTTATTCGTTCCATGCCATCCAATCTTCATAAAGCTGTATAAATGCTTGACAACAACACATACGCAGATTATTCCTTTGAGGCCAGTTCCATTCGTTTCTCTCACACATAGGCTGCAGCACTTGACAAAATGCACCGCAAACATAGACCATTCTCAATTGTAGCTGATTCAATAAATTCTTGGCCTCATAGAGCTTCCCAGCTTCACCTAAGAGATCAACCATGCAGGCATGGTGCTCTATCCTTGGAGCTTCGCCAAATTTATTTGACATCAATTTAATATACTCCCAACCTCTACCCACCAATCCCGTGTGGCTACAACCAGAAAGAACGTTTACAAAAGTAACATAATCAGGCCTTGCACTATCCAGTTGCATCTCTTCAATGAGTTTAAGCACTTCAATCCCAAGGCAGAAATCATCGCATTCCATCATGGAGAAAGGTTCCCACACTTGCATTCATAGTCAAGAAAGAACTTCCTATTGGAACTTCAAGTGAACCCGTTCTTTATTATTATTATTATTTGATTGGTAAATGTAAAATTCTTTTGATCAAAATCATGTACAAATACACTGGCTATACCCGAACAATTAGACAACAAGTAAAATATAACTACTTCGGACATACCTGAACAATCCAAAGAAAAAGACGTACAAACGATAACAACTATAGTCCTAAAACCGACGACTCATAATGAATTAAAACATGCGGGTACAAAGCAAACATAACATTGTACACGTGTTTTAATTAGTCTTACAATGCTATCTACTTGTGGGCAAAGATGCTCAAAAACCTTTCTATTACGTGCCATCCAAATATGGTAAGTGGTGTTCGCAAGTGCAAATCTTTTAGCTTTACTTTGTCAAGATGTCCCTTGGGCCTCCTTTTTTATCCATTTCAAAGAACTCGGAATTGTAGTCATCGATCTCATAATCCCCATCCAATCTTTAATCGTCATCCATATGCTAGATGTGAATGAACATTGACAAAATAGATGCTGTCCATTTT